GCATAACACACATTTTTAAGCATCTCACAATTATTTTCCTCAGACAGAAATTGATGACCCACTTTGGTTGTGTCAAGAAGGTACTGCCTCCCTTGAAATTTCTATCTAAATATTCCTAAAATCTTACAGGAAATCAGTTATAGCTTAGAAAAATGAAAAAATACCAGTTTTCTTTTTCTGCAAATCTAGTAGAAATCTTGAGGCTGAATATAACAAGGCTCGTTCACTTGATAATAATCCTGGGTAATGGGTTAATGAGAGGGAAACAAAGAGGAAGCAGAAAAAGGGAGTACTGAGGAAAGGAGTAAGACAAGTATTTTGGAAAGACAGAAAAAAGATCAAGTTAGAGCTATTGAAGGAAACAAATGTTTTGTGAAGATTTCACAGAATGGAGCAGCTGATTGTTTTTTTAAGGATGACAATGAAAATGATAATTCACTTTCATTAATGACGTGTATTTAAATTCTATGTTGTGGTCTCAGGCTAGACCGAGAAATGATTCCCCATTATATGGCTTTGAAGCCTTATAAAGTTTTCACTCATTAACTGGAATGGTTTTATTCTGGGCTGTTTGATATTATTGTCTGTGATGATATGAACAGCTGTTTGAAGAAAACAAGACATCATAATAGCTAGTGCTGATTTATTATCATCTTGTTTTGAAGTCCCATCAAACTGTTATTCTTCTGTCTCCATTGCTTTTATCATGTGGTATCTTATTGGATTTTATTATATGTGATAGTATAAACAAAAATTTTTATAGGCAAAGAGATAATATAGAAACCATCATTCATTTTCTGATAGCTGGTTCCAAATACCCTGTAATACTTTCATCCTCTTGAATGGTTTCACATTTTCTTGATATGTTTGATGCTATAGTATATGAAGTTATACTCAAATATTTCAAGGAAAGAGACACTTTGGTAACTACTATTAAGTTGGGTTATTTTGTGGTGAAATGCTATGTTGCTTAAATTGTTCTGTTCTGACCTGGATTGTTACGTTGTTATTTACCTCAATCTCTCCCTTTTTAAAAAATGTATTTTTTTATTATTATTATTTTTTCAATTAAAGGAAATTTTTTTAAAAAATTAGTGGGATATATTATAGTAACTTTTTTGATTTCCTATTAACTCAATTTGAAGCCCTCTATTGCTCTCACCATCTTGTTTTGACTGATTTTACTCTATTCTGTTCTGTGTGATAGTATCAATTTTAAGCGTATAGGCAACTACTTTGAAGGCAATAAGATTCACTATGATGCCATTCTGGTTTGACTATTATCTTCTCTTGAAGTTCAGTAATGTCTCCAATGTTTTGATTTTATTGGTTTTGTTCTGTACTGTTTTATTAAATTTTATTATACCAGATGATATAGGCAATTCTTTTTTAAGGTAGCAAGAGGCAGTATGTTAACCATTGTTGATTACCCTGTATTCTGTTTTTACATTGTGTACTATGTCCATCCTTTGTTTTGACTGACTGCTTTGTTTTGTCACATTTGGTTTTATTCTCTTCCACAAAAAATAAAAGTAATAAGAACTGTGGGAGTAATAAAACCCAAAAGGTATAATTGTTATTGTAAAAAATATAGGAAAAGAAAGTGCTCTAAAGGGCATAACTTCAAGTGTGTTTAGGTGTGTAAGATAGATGACCATATTACTAAGTTTTTGTTGGGTCATTGAAAACAACTGTTTGCAGTCTCGCTGTTTGAATGTCCACTTTGTATGCTTAATTTTGAAATTTGAACAACTATTTCTAAGATGACAATATGTAATGTATTAACTAGTGATTTCTTACTGTTTATTTTTTTAAAATTCTGTATTACTTGTACCCTTTTACTGTTTTGTTTTGTTTTGTTTCTTTAAATAAAATTTTTTTAAAAATCAAATTTCAATCTCTGAAAAAAAAAGAAATTAATGAAGAAACAAGATGCTTCCAAGACAAAAAGGAACTTGGGAAATTTGCAACCATCAGTCCAACTCTACAGAGAATACTGCAGGGCATTCTAGAGAGAGAGAAATGTACTAGGCTTCCAGGAACAGTGGCAGACAGGCTTCAATGAATGGAGCAGAAACAGAATGAAGAAGATAAGCAGACAACTGATGGTAAACAAAAAAGAGCATAACAGAAATGAGGCAGAGAAGGTTGGTTATAATCTCTAATATAGATGGCCTTGATACACTATATTAAAAAAAAAAAAAAGAACCACACCTGGAGAAGATCAGGAGGCAGGGTCCACCAAGATGCTATTTATAGGAAGTATAATTAACATGAAAAAGAATACATGGACTGAAAATCAAATATGAGAAAGCAATGCTCTATGTGACAGAGAACCAGTGAGTAATAGGGGCAACTAGACCAGTATTTGTGGATAGGTTGGAAAGAAAAGATTTAATAGGTAAAGGAATACAATTAGAGATCAAGTCCAGGAGAGAGAAGGTTCAGAACCACTTAGGTAGGTAAGCAGGTTGACCCCTGCCAATTTAAAACCAAGGGTCTTGGTCAGACCCAAAATGCACAGTGTACCCTGGGGAAGTGAAAGGGGAGGGAGAGTCTTAAAAAGGCATAAGACATTGTTAATAGTATATTAGTATTTAAAACCCACATTACACGCACCACTCTGCTTAGATAGATTTTATTCATTTTTTAGTTTAGTTTTGTTTCATTTTGATAGATTTTATTCTGTCCCAGTTTGTCTACTTGCAGTAGATTTGAGGGCACAGACAGCTATCGCCAAAACATCAGTATCTAGCACAGTAATCATTTTAAATTTCCTATTATCTTAATGTAGAACCCTGTATGACTTATACTGTTTTATCATGACTGATCTTAGTTAAATCTGGTTTGTTTGATTGCTGTTTGGTATCAGCAGATTTTATTCAAAACTGATACGATTGATAGTACCAAGTGTGAGAATATAGGCACCAACACTGAAAAGGAAAAGACTCTACGATACACATTCTGGCTTGATAACTGCCTGTTTTTGAAGTTTTATAATATATACAAAGTTGTGTTTTTATTAATACTGTTATGTACTGATATATTGAATTATACTATATCTGATGATATAGCCAATTCTATTGCAGATAACAAGAGACAACACAGGAACTATGGTAGAACTCCTTGTACATGGTCTTATATGTCTTTTTTGTTTCATGTGATTATAGGAATGTTTTGTTTTGTCTTGCTTTGTTTTGTTTCTCCCTCTAATACAGAAAGGATAGAAATACATTTAGAGACTCTTGTATGTGTAGAATCTATAAACAGTTTATGAGAACGGACCTTATGATACATGATGAAATGAACAGATACTCTGAAGAAAAAGGGATACTAAAGAACCCAGTGCTGATGCTGAAGTGTCATAATGTGAAACCCAGCAATAGTATTATTCTTTATTCAGAGTGATATTAGCCTGCTTGGGTTTGTTCAATCTCAACTTAATTGAAGATATGGATAACTGCATGTATGTTTAAGTGTATAGGATTGATAACCATATTTCTAAGTTTTTCTTGGATAGTTGAACAGAACTGCATGCAGTCTCACTGTTTGAATTCCCACTTTAGATGCTCCACTTTAGTATCTTGAATAACTATTTGTAAGAGGACAATCTGTAATAATCAAGTAGTGATTTCTTAGTTTGTTTTTTCTTTAAAAGTATGTATTATTTCTACCCATTTTGTGTTTTGTTTAGTCTTTCTTTAAATAAAAATTTTTTAAAAAGACACTACAGTACCCAGTGCTGATCCCAGAGTGTCATGATGTGAAATCCAGCAATACTATTCTTTGTTCAGAATGACTTTAGCCTGCTTTAGTTTGTTTAATGTCAACATAAATGAAGATATGGATAACTGCATGTATGTTTAAGTGTATAGGGTTGACAACCATGTTACTAAATTTTGTTGGATAGTTGAACAGAACAGTTTGCAGTCTCACTGTTTGAATTCCCACTTTATATGTTCCACTTTTGTATCTTGAACAACTATTAAATGTAAAAGGACAGTATGTAAACATTAACTAGTGATTTCTTACTGTTTATTTTTTCTCTGAATGTATGTATTATTTCTACCCATTTTGTTTTGTTTAGACTTTCTTTAAACAAAATTTTAAAAAAGAAATCCAGAAATTACAGTGTCCTGGCATTAAAAAAGAAAACCACCAAACATAACCCAACCTGGTTATGGAGGCCAAGTGGTTGTGTTATCAAAGTTCCCTGTAGGAAATGTGTACAACTTTCACAACTAGAAAGAAGCCAGCACAAAGCGGATGTAGTAGCCAAGATTATATTACTAAGGTAAACAAAAAAGTAAAGCCCTTCTAATTTAGTACTGTCTTTGTGTTTTGTGGTGCTTTATGTTCTACAAATTTTCGTGGTTTTGGAACTGGGAATGGTGACTTGTGATTCTAATCCTAGCACTTCAGAGGCTGAGACAGGGGGAGCTCTGTGAGTTTCAGACTGGTTTGAGTTACATAGCAATTTCAAGGACAGCCTGAACTGTGTAATGCAACCTGGTTTCAGAAAAAAAAAAGCAAACTGATGATGATGATAAGGGATTATTCAGAGAATAATGTTCTAATAGTTTTGTCTGCATTCCTTTCTGTAGTTTTCTCTTTGGATTTGGGCAAAATCCCTAGAACTACTTTAAAGATAGAGATCTGGACAGAGAGGTAACTTGCAGAGCATGCAGAAGAAACTGTACACTGTGGAAAATGATGTGTTTCAACATTGTTACACATGCAGGAGAGAGAGTGCACACTGAGAATCAGGTGTAGGGTTTGGGGGAAAGAGGTGGTTGGGATCAGCCCAAGGCTACACAGCCTTTGGGCCTGGTGAGTGAACAGGAGGTCCTCATCAGTGGTGACTTTCTGAGGAGACTGAGGCCTTGTGTATCAGCAGCTGGAAGGCGGGGGCTCCTGACATTCCGTGACCCCCACCTTCCAGTTCTCTGCTGTAACTGCCACTGTTGCCTGGTGTGCCAGGCACAACTGGCTCCCTCGAGTCTGTCTGAGCCACAGACAGGACTTGTTCAGTTCTGAACTTCACTTCAGGACCTGTTTGGTCAAGAAAAGTCACAAATCTTGTGGGGTGTGTTGATCAACTCTATCTCAACAGTGAGTTACTCGGTGTTCTCCTGTCCTTCCACTGGCCTGAGCCAACCTGGTTGATTTCCCTTGTGTCACTTTACTTTTTTCTCCTTCTCAGTTCAGTTTTTCAGTCAGGGTCTCAGCATGTAGTTCAGGCTTTCTGTGAATACCAAATGTGGCGCAGGCTGGCCTCGAACTCCCAGATGGCTGTGTGGGGATTACAGGCCTGCACCGCCATGCTCAGTTTCTTTGTCTTGGATTTTAACCCACATTGTGTTTGGTTTTCTCCACAGTCCTTGTACAGAAGTCCACACTCTCCACGGTGCCAATGGTGGTACCGCTCAGCCCCAATCCCGGGGCTGAGGTGAATGTGGGCCCATTTCAGAAAGGATACTTGCTCTGGGATGGGAGATCCTGAGGCACAGGTTGAGCTCTGTGAGTCAGGTTTTGTGAGACCCAGAGCAGCTCTCAGCTCCATGACCAACGAGGGGCAGAAACATGGTGAGTTCTATAGGTTCACATTGACCAAAATGATAAATGATTCTGTTTTCCTGCACAATTGAAATAGTCTTTAAAAAGTGGTTTTTTCTTTGCTTTATGAAAATAAATTTACCTTCCCACATTGCTAGAAACAAAGTGTGGGATTTTGTGTCCTATCTGAATAGTGAGACTCAAGCATGAACCAGCTTCTCCCGGTTTATAGTGAGGACTAGAGTCGGACCAGTGTAACAACCCAGTTGCCAGATCTGTTGAGGGCATGGAATGATGTGCTTTTCTCAGCACAGTTTAGGCCATTTTGATGAGGGCCCTCCATGTCCCCTGTCAGATCCTCAAGACACATAGCCTCCCTACTGACCTACAGTTCTGGGACCAGTGGCCCCACCTTGCACTGAAGCTTCTGTGGATTCCCAGTTTTTGGTTTTACCTGGAAAAGCAGGGAACAGTGCTAACGACAGGTTTCAGAGGAACTTAGATTCTGCTCCTAACTGAAGTTGTGGCAGCCATCATTGTCACCATGGAGACCAGAGAGTTCTGTGGCAAGGAGGACAACGTGCTTGGTGGGGCACAGGCTCTTATGAGCCCAGGAGAGCTTTCAGTGGAAGGCGCGTCTGTGGTAACAGACTGTAGCAACCATCTGTCTCCCCAGGAGCCCACAGCTCTTGGGAAGGGGACTGGGCAGCAGGTCCAAGTTGACCTCAAGGGTCTGAGCTCTGAACTGTGAGACCACAGTGAGAGAAGGCATGAAGAGGAGAGTGCCAGCTGCTGTCCACACCAAGGTCACAGTGAGGGTGCCACCTCCTGCAGTCAGTCCAGAGCAATGGGCCATTGTCCTGTGCAGAAGCTGAGGTAACTGGGGTGTCAGGGAACTGTGCTCCAGTACTGTCACCTGAGGGAATGTCACCTTCTCTGACCCTGAAGTTGCCATATTGAATCACAGTGATCTCTCCAAATATTCAATGGTAGAGTATTTTTTTTTTCTAGTTGAAAGGGTCTCAGATAATAATCAAAAGTGAACCATCTGAAGAAAGTCACCAGCTTAGGTTCAGGTGGAGACCAACTGTGTACTTCATGAATGTCATCTTTACAATAAGAGTTGATTGTGTTTTGAAGGATACTAAGGTGAGAAAGGAGAAAGCCACCCCGGGCCCTGTGGAGGAACTGTGTGGAGCTGGGTGCTGTGCTGTTCCCGAGTGCAGCACAGGGGTCTGGTGCTCTGGGCCCTCAGATGCCTCCCATGCTGTGATCTGTACCAGTCCCTCCTGCACAGGGTTGCAGTGAGCTCATGAGTTCCTTGCAGTGACACCCTTGCAGCATGGCCTGGTACCGGCCCACACTGAAGCTGAGGTTTTCTAGTCTACCTAAACCCCTGCATTACAGTAAATGTCAGCTCCTTGTGCTGTTCTGCCTTCCATTGTCTGCACATGGCCGGCTGAGATTTTCATCTTGAGAAGCTTGTTTCTCCCAGCAATCCCAGCCCAGGGCCCTTGGAGCTCTCTTCCAAGAACAAAGCTGGTGCTGCTTCCTGCCCGGCTAAGGGTGTGCAGTGGGACCTGCAGGCTTGGCCATTGCCTTGGTCTCAGATGCTCACTGAGAGTGTGGGGATGTGAGTTCTCACTGTACATCCCTCCACCTGAGTCATTTGTCTTTTTTCCTTGCCTGCTTGCTTCTCTCCCCTCACCTGTAAAATGGGGGTTATTCCATATTACCTGTGTAAGGAACTAGAAAATCAAAATGTGGAAGCACAAGCCCATAGCCCGGTGCTGAGCTGTCCTTGTCCTTGTTGTGGGTGTGGGCTCCTCTGCAGGCGATGCCCACAGTGCATGTCCAGCTGCCCATTGAGGCAGGTGCATGTGTCTCTTCTCAGGCATTGGGAGGAAACATGATGATGATTCTGTGCTCCTGGAGAGGCTTCACACAGAGGAGCAGGACACGGCTGCCAAGTTGCCTCTGGCTGAGCAGCTGAGGTAAGGAGATGTGGGGAGGGCATGTGAGTCTCTGCAGGGAGCAGCTGGGCTGTGAGAAGCATGAGCTGGCATGGGCCAGGGAGGGCAGAAACCTCAAGGCCCAGATCCTTGTTACCGAAAATGTTCAGGGGAGAAAGAGGTGTCAGCTCCTGCACTCAGGGTGCTCTGAAGCCTCTCCTCTTAGAAATGCACTGAGGTCGGTATCACATAATATAGAAATACACAAAGGCAGTGAGTGTGTATGTGCATTATTGAGGTGGCAAGCTTTGGAGTGTTGCTGTCCCCTCTTGTCCCTCTTCCTCCCAGTCACCTCCTGCATGGTGATGGCACTTCCTGCCTTCATTTAGAAAAAGCAAGTCTTCCTGAGCCTTGGAGCTCTGGTTGCATTTTCTCCAGGGACCTGAGCTGTATGTGGATATGTGTCTGGGCTGGGTGTATGCCCCCACTCTGCACAGGGTGCTGTGTCTCTGTGGAGAGGAAGGGAAATGCCCATTTGGATTACAGAAGACATGGTGAAGGTGATGCTCAGGCATCCTACAGGGGCACTCAGTGATACAGGAGACACCTGTAATGAGCTGTCCTTCCTTCCTCTCATGCAGGGTCTGTCCAAATAGGGGCCTGAGTTCTGCTTGTGGGACCCCCAAGGTCTTCTGATAAAACCTCTATCTGGGCCCTTTGAATGCCTCCTGCCTCTTTGAAGGCTCACATCGCTGCTTCCCTCCACCCTAGGTTGTCCATGCTCCTCATTCAGAAGCAAAAACAAGATCTCTTGGAATTAGCTCAAAAGCTGAATGAAAGGAAAAAAGTGTCCCTGCTCCTTAAGGACCGTCTGGAGGTCCTCCTCAGAAGAGATCACCCTGAGACCATCCAAGGCCATTGCCACCACCAGGGTCAGCCCAAGGGCTGCAGGCTGGCTGAGCCACTGGGCCACAACCTCAACCCAGGTGAGGAGGCCTCAGGCCCTGATTACACTGAGTGGCTTTAAAGTTCCCAGCTCACAGGACACTACACTCACAAAGCAATGTGTTTGACAAGCTCTTCTGGTGCTTGTGTCCCATGTAGAGCTGTGGCAGGTTTAGGACTACTGCAGCAGAATGCAGAGGATTCATCCACACCATGGGCCTCACAGCATCCCAGGGTCCTTTGTCCCTGAGGGAACCTGACTTGAGGGGCTGCATCCTTCTAGTTTTAAAGCTGAAAAGAGGATGTGTTAGGAGTCAGCTGGTTAGAATTAAAATCATACTGCTCTAAGTATGAAACGTTCCCATACCCCACCCTTATGGCTGACTGTACCAATTGTGTATGACTGACCACTCCATCCTTCCTGAATTCCTGTCTCCTGGTGTGCAGAAAAGTAGATGATATGGTCTTTGTCACTGTGCTGTGCAGGAAGAGAATAGGCACGGATGCACTTAGGAAAGATAAGGACCTTCCCCCATTGGGTTGGCGTAGGCCCTCCATCCCATACCCCCGAGAACCTTCAGCACCTTACTTAGAGACAGTTCCCCACTCATGACACAGGAGAGGCTGCTGCATTTCCTTCAGTATGAGAGAGGAGCCACAGTGATGGTTACTGATCACTGAAGACCATAGTATCCATTAGGTTCCCTTTCAGTGGCGTGCATCCTGTGGTTTTGGGAAGATGTCTGTTGACACAGGTCCTGTTCCAGTGTCAGACACGATAGTTCCCTGGCCTGAAGTCCACCATGTCCCTACCCAAATCCATCTATCCTCTCCACAAGATCACAGCAACCAAGTCTCTGTGTATCATCCCTGCCGTGGTTTGCAAAGGTTTCCTTCCAGTGTGTGCCTCCCATTTGAGTGATCTCAAGAGAGCAGAGGTTCTCACAGTGTAGCTCACTTGTTCTTTCTCTTGTGGGCTCTGGTCTTTGTTCTGGATGACAGATGCCCCAACACTGTTCACATGGATTTGCTTCTGTGTTGGATTTTCTCTTGGGAAAAGTTTTTGTTTTCACTCCACATTTATAATCCATTCTCATTTAATGTTGCCAAACCTGTAAGGGCTTTGCCTGTCCACCTGTCCCAGCACCTCTCATGAGAGACTGTGCTTTCTCCAGGAGTGGCCCTGGCCCCTTCTTGAGCTCTGTCTGTGAGGTCTGATTCTGGGCTCCATTCTCAGGAGCCAACCTGTTCCTGTCCTCCTGACCACTGCTCTTTTACAGCTTTCGCTTTCATCTCTACTGGTGTTTGCTTTGTTCCTCAGGGTCTTTTGACTCCAAATAAACTGGAGAATCTACTTGTCCTTTTAAACATCCTCTGCTGCTTTTAAATTGTCATTGCTGGGAATTGGTAAATAGATTCCTGAAGAACCTGATTCACATGTGGGGATTATGTGCATTGATGTAGGTGGTCATTGTGTTTTTACTTATAAATGTTTTGCTAAGTTCGTGCATTAGAACTTAAATGTGTTTCCTCGTCAATGTGAGTGATGGTAGGCTTTTACTTCAAACCCCTTGTGTTCATTCCTGACATGCCTGAGAGTGCAATCAATTTGTGTATTTTCTATGTAGCCTGAATTTTTAATGTAATTTTTTAGTTCCCAGGAAGTTTTTATTGGTGCTATATTGTGCTTTTTAAAAGTAGATACTTGTGTTCTTCTGGTGTTAGAGAATACTCTACCTTGGAGTCCCCCCTCCCCAACTCAGTGGTTCCTTTGTTTGTCTCATTATTTGTTTTTATTTAAACAGTGTTGTTCCCTTTTTTCTTTGCATGTGGTATTTGGAGATTTCCGTGGATGTTTCTTGAGGTGACAAATGTTGTCCAGGTCATATCTCATGTACTTTGATGCAGGCAAAGGCCTTCTCCACTTCCATTGTGGTCTTCAGTTTGTATCGCTTGGTTCTTTGTGCTCTTTCCCCTCTTCCTGTTAGACCTGCAGGCATGTTCTTCACACTGGAATTTGACTTGCACTGCTGAGAACTCTAAATGCCTGCCTGTCTACTCTCCCTGCACACACTGTCCTCTGTCTGTCAGTCATCTTCAAATTGTTCCTCAGAAGCCAGTTGTGAGGAGCTGGGTGATGTGAGCATAGGTTGATCCAGTGTTCATGGTGTTTTGTGTTTCTATTCTAGGGTTTGTGTGCTATAGCTATTGTTGCCACAGACAAAGTTCTCCTGTCTCTCTCTGTCTGTCAGTCTCTCTCTCTCTCTCTCTCACTCTATTTCTCTCTCTCTGTTTCTCTCTGTGTGTATCTGTGTGTATTTCTTTTGATGCAGTGTTTTACTGAATAGTTCAGGATGGTGTTGACATCACAGCACTGCTCATTCCTCAGCTTCCCAAGTGCTGGGATAACAGGCTTGGGTCACTACGCACAGCCACTGGAGCACTGTGGTGCTGAAATTCTGTGCCTGTACTTCCTCAGTGTTGCTCCTCTGCTCTGACCTGAGAGCCCTGCTGATGGTGGTAGGTGTGGAAGGAGAGGAAGCAGGACACAGTCCTGGGGTGCCCTCTCTGGTCCTGCTGAGCCTGAGCCCAAGGTTGTCACATTCCCAGCAGCATCTGTCTGACCCCACCACCTGTGCCCTGTGTGCACAGCACTGTGAATTACCTCTGGGCCCCCAGAAATATCAGCAAGTACACAATCTTTAAGAAATTGAGAGCTCGTGTGCTTCATCAGGAGATGAGGAGACCTCGTACCCACCCCTAATCTCACATAGATATTTCCATTTCTGTGCCACAGAGGCCCTGGTGTCTGTGATGGGGACAGGGAGCTCCTCCCTGCCTGACTGGCTATTTGTTAATTTACTTGCAGATATTCCAGGAAAGGAGGAGGATGTTAAAGAGGACTCATCTGTGGCCCACAGGTACCTAGGTAGTCAGGACCAGGGCTGACATGGGACAACACGTAAGCCCCAGTAAGAGGCTGGTCCCCAAAGGACAGGTCAGCAGGTCCACAGTGCCCAGCCTGCACACACAGAAAGGCAAAGTGATCTGGTGCTCTGAGTCCATTTGCTCAAGCCAAGAGGAGCACCTTTCTGTCAGTGTGTGATGTCCCCATGGGTCTCATTTGTACCCAGTGGACCTCATCAGCCTCTGTTGTGTGGGGAAATTGTGGCTGAGATTGGATCTGCTTCTATAGGGGTGGTCTTATGTCATTAGCATGGATTTCACACCAAGAGATCTAAGAAGAAAACTGTGAGTCAATCCATCCATCCATGGAAAGATGCTGCACTGCACGAGGCCTTAGGCTCTGCTATCTGTATGGCAGTGACTGGGCAATATACAAAGGCCACCAAGTTGAGAGAGAGAGAGAGCAGAGCCCTGCTGGGGTCTCTGGGTGTGCTGGGAGCTGTCCTGTCAAGTGGGGCGGAAGCTCTGTCATCATCAGGTTGTCATCCGGCCTGTACTGTGCATCTCCTGTCCCTGCCATCTAGGCAGCTGCACTCTGCCCTCCTGTGAGAAAAAACTCATCTTTGAATTCTGTGTCCTGTGACTCTGTGACCACTCCTTACACCTCTCTCAGTAACCTCAGAATCCTGTGTCCCATCTTGCTGGGTTTAACCCTGTTCTTCATCCCAGCAGTGAGAGCACAGACAGCCAGCGAGATGAGGAGCAGGCAGAGGAACTCCAGGCCTCCCAGGGTGAGGAGCACAAGACTTTCCCTGGTGACTGTGAGGCTGGTGACACCCAGCAGTCTCCCTGTGCCACTGCAGCCCTGGTGGATGAGGCTGAGGCCCCTTCTCCACAGGCCCTGGGTGAGTCCTGCATTACTAAGAGAACCACATGCATCCACCCCCCATTTCTGTGCATCCAGTGCAAACTCAGGGTGACAGACACAGGACATCCAGAGGGGACAGGTTGAGGAGACTGTAACAGCTCACAGCCATCACTGTAACCCACTCCTGGCAGGCATCTGTTCATCTGTACAATTTTGCTTTTTCAAACTGGAACAGCTGCTGTCCATTGCACTATTCTTGCCAAATGCTGCTCCTGAGAGCTGTGCTTTGGCCTTTAGTTGCTGTGCAAATTTTGCTGTAGGTGATGCGCTCACTGGAGATGTTGTTTTGGTTCCTCTGCTGCCAGGCAGCATCTCCATTTCTTCTAGTTTTCTCTCCCATGATGATGTCAGTTCCCTGCCAGGACATAAACATTCATGACTGTGCCTGCCAGTATCATGGAGATGCATCTTAGCCTCAGCAGTCTCCCCTCCTTGGAGGCCAGCACTGTCTTCTCTCAGTGACCCCCAGATCTTTTGAGGCTCTGTTGAGTTGTCTACATAGACTCAATGAACAGTATGCACAGTAACCACATACCCTAAAGCTAAGACCTGACACCCACAGCATCTTCTGTCACCTAAAAGACCCTGTCCTCGGGAACACCAGGGATTCTCTTCCTTGAGGAATTTGTTATTTCACATCAGCCTCATCCCTGGGTCTCTTAAGTCCACTGAGATCAAAGAGTTGCAGTCTGGTGTTTCTGAGATCAGCAGAGGCAGTGAGGCCAGTTCCTGGGATGTCTGTGGGAAGATGCTCGCTGAGCTGTGTGCCAGTGTGGAGACTGACACCCTGTGATGCTGACCTGTCAGGGATGAGTCCATCTGTCTGTCCACAAGCTCAGAAAAGCATGCCCCTTGACTTCTCACAAAAGTGCTCAGCATTGTCTCAGATTATTCTGTTTTTCTCGGGCATTGGCAGTTGTGGGCTTGAAGGGGTGAGGCAGGAATGGTGTAACTGTCCATGCTTATCTGATTTTACTTTCAGAAAATGAGAATCACCTAGCAGATGAGGATTCCCTAGAACCCAAGAGCACCAGGTAACTGTACCTGTGATGGAACCATGGTGACATAGAGACCTGGAGTTTAGACTTTAATGTCAGATCTCTGACACACTTCCTTCTCCCAGCAAGCAGACACAAAGTATATGTTGAAAGTATTCTGCCACATGTGTGTTCTTTCCTTTGTGGGATATGGCTTTTACTAATTTCTGAAATATCTACATAGTCTGCAGAGGAGTTATAATGACAATGGGTTTTGATATTCATGCACATGTGGCTACTTTGTCCCTGCAGGAATGTGGAACTGTGCTCTACACATGGGGACTTAGCTCACTGGCAGGTTTTCATTGGCAGAAAACTTTGTACCACAGGAAACACTTTTGTTGGATACGAGTTCTAGGTGCAGCTGTGCTCAGGAATGCACTTGCTTTGCCTGGGACTGCACCAAGTCATTTATATGTGGGTCTCAAACATGTGGCAACTTTCCGTTGGAAGGGCTCCCTGAGTGCACACAAAAATCACCAGCAATGTCCTGATCACTGAGCAGCACCCCATTCACCCTGAGCTGATTTCCCTCTGCCCTTGGAACATGCTGTTGTCATTTATGACTGTGCCTGAAAGGAGAGCTCTAATTATGTATTTCCTTCTCCCTTGTGCACTTCAGGTTGATCACTGAAAATATCGCATGTTTCAAGCCAATAGAGATATTCCCGAAATGGAGGTCCATCCTGTACTACATGAGAAAGAGTCTTAGAGAACTGTTGACTGAGGATGGAGCTATGAGATATGAGGCACAAAGCCACCAGGAAAAGTACTCAGAGTGGCACAGGCTGGCCAGGAGCCTGGCCCTGCAGCTCAGCCCAGGTGAAGGGGCTGCAGGCTGCTCCTGCCTTGATTTCTCTTTACTCATCTCAGAGGCTCTCCGTGAGTGTTTCACTGCAGTTGTGGCACTGGGTAGGGAATCTCTGTGAGTGTCCTTTCAGAGAACTCTTGTCACTCCCAGAGTTACCCTAGGGATGAAATGGCCATGGGACTTGGGTACCAGGGAGAGAACTCTCATACATTAGTGATAGAAGGCAGGTGGAGGGTGCTGGGAGGGGCCTGGTGTGGACACCTGTGGCAGACTTGTTTTTCCTGTCCTTGATGAAAGGAAGCAGATGGGATGGGAGCTATGGGGTGATGTGAATCCACAGACCCTGCAGTCCAGGTGCGTGATAGGAGGGAGGGGTATCCAGGACTCTGTGGCCCAAGATCCAAGTGGACTTGGCCCAGTACAACTCAGAGTGGGCCAGGATCATCACCCCCAAATAAAGACATTGTGTCCCTGGGAGTAGTGTGTCACTGTTTCTGTGGGGCTGACACAGAGGTCACACAGGCTTCTATGTTCACCTGACAATGTTGTACGTTCATCTATGTGCACATTCTAAGGTAGCCAAAGGTGCAGTGGCCCCATGCAGTGATATTCTGGACTTTTCTGAATTTGCTTGCAGAGCACCACTCTGATGGAGAAGAGGAGAAGACTCAGCCCCTGGTCTCCAGGTATCAATCCATGGTCAGGAAGCAAGAGCAAGTGTGGGGGATGGGGACGTGTTACAGTTAGGGCCCAAGGTCATCAGTGGCCACCCACTTCACTCTCAAGGTTGAGAAGTGCCTGCTGATGGTTGTGGCATCATTCACCCAACCACAGACACCATGGCATTTTAGCAAGGTGCTGTGTTTCCTCTGGTGGTTTTGGAGAAAGTGTCTGCTCAGGACATCTAAGTACTTATCACTATAAAAGAGAACTTTATCCTCTGAAAGGGCTCCATGCACATTGTCTTTCTGAACTGAGGGCCAGAGTTTGTGGACAGCTGAGGCACAGGCAGGACAACTGCAGAGAGCCATGTCAGGTCTCAGTATTGATGAGAACGGGTTGAGAGGGCCCAAGTTCTCCTGCAGTCACTGCAGAACCTGTGGTCTGCAGAACCTGGGAAATTCCCCATTATTCCCGCACTAGGTCGGTCCTGCTGTGGTTCTCACTGCGAGCTCCCTGTCCTGCTGCATCTCAGAGGGAAGATGCTTTCTCCTCCTCAGCTGGTGATGTGGAAAGCACCCTGAGCAGGGCTGATCTCTCTTTCCTGTGTGCTTCTGTTGTCTGTCCTCTTCTGTGTCTGTCTTTTACTCTGGCTCTCACTCTCATTCCCATAGTACTCAGGCAGTGTCCAAGTCAGAGCACAGTTCTCTTCCTCTTTGTGAAAGGCCTGAGGAGTTGGAATTCTCCCTAGAGCTTTGCTAGAGGCTGACTTGGAACCTGTGTGTTGTGTTCCATTTAACCTTGTCTTTTCCACCCCATTCCCACCCATGCATGTCTCAGCATTGAGCTTTGTGAAGAAGATGACCTGTCAGCATCAATGGAGGAGCTGTCTTTCCTGGGTTCTCAGCAACCATTTCCACCATCACCAGAAGAAGATCAGCTGAATTCCTCTGTCCCTGCGATTGAGCCTCAAGCAAGATCTCTGCCTGATGAAACCAGTGAGTTCCCAGCATCCAGCTAGAAGTGCAGCTCCAGGGTTCAGGGTTCTCAGATTTCAGGGTCTCAGCTCAGAGAGGCAGCCAAACCTCAACCAGGTCTCCCCTTTGCTTGGAAAGTGGGGCAAAGGTCTGGGGACTCTGCAACTTTGCTGAGTTCTTGTGCCAGGGAGGACTCTGAGCCTGGTCTCACAGTGCAGACCTCAGATCAGCACTTGGGCCAGATGGAGCAGAGGGGATCAGAAAAGCCTCGAGGATCCCTGAAGCTGGTGTTCGTGGGGTCAGACCACTTCATGAAGGGTTTTTGGGGTGCTCTGGTCTAATGGCTGGGTGTGGCTTCCCCTGCACAGTCCTCTCCTCTTCTCTGCACATCCACATGCCTGGCAGACTCTTCAGTTCTTTGGAGGTGAATTTGTGGATCCGGGGCTCCCAGCTCCCAGTTGCTGTGCCCTCTGTGCTGCCTTCCTCCAGGACAGCTTTCCAGCATCCCTTCCCTGCCACCGCCAAGTTTCTATCCTCTTCCCAGCATCAGGGTTTCCTTCCTGTCAGCCTTTAGTTAGCATCACGTGTCTCATCTCTGAGTTTTATTCCCTATCTGGCCGACCTACCTGAGAGGGAGAGAACAGAGCCCCTGTGTGCCATCTCCTCAAAGCCCTGTGTTGTTGTGCAGGAACCCCGTGGCCCAGCATTGTGCTGACCAATGTGGAGATAAATTTCAGGTCCCTGTTCCTGTCACTCATGGTGTTTTAATCATTTGGTCAGAGGGAAATGTGAGATTTTGTGTGCATTTACTCATTGCATAAACTATTGGGAAATGGTGAGCTGTGGTATCCTCCTGTGAATCTGCGTGCTGTAGAGTGAGAGTTGCCATGACACATGACGTTCCATGGGCCCATGGGGGAGCCAGCACCTTTTCACAGTTCAAGCATCTTGTTCCTGTCCCTGTCTGCTGAGGGCAGAGGGTGTTCTCAGGTCCCAACCTTTGGCAAAGCAGGAGTGAGCTCCACATGCCCAGGCCTGTGGTGGGTGCTGAACCTGCTGCCACATAGCTCTGTTTCCAGTCTCAGCCATGACATCCTCCAGAGCCCTCTCAGGCAGGGTTGGGGCCTCCATGTCAGAGGTGAGCACACTGAGATCCAGCAGGGTCACATGCATGCCCAGGTGTCCCCGACCAGTGTGCTCATCTCCGGGCCAGGAGGTCTGCCCAAATCCAAGCTGAGTCTCTGTCCACTGTTCTGATGCCTCAGTGGTCAGGGACAGGCCTGACATGGGGTAGGGTTAGGGCTTGGGGTTTGGTACATTGGTGTTGTGACATTTGTGTGTTGTTTGCAGACTCGGACATCATCTCGGAAAGGTGCAGGTGCAGGCAGGGCAGGAAGGGCTATGTGTTTCTCCCTCTTCCCTGAGCCAGCCGGGGATGACACTGTGTTCTTACAGCTGCTCCTGTTGCTTCCCAGCTGCGTTATTTCTCATGTTTGCTACCCCAGCGTCACTCTGCCCTGATGTGCAGTAAAGTGAAGTTTCCCTGTGCTTGGAGGAGCCCTCCTGTCTGTTGTGGAGGTGATGGGAGATCCTCCCCCTCCTTCTGTCAGGTTCACCTTGTTTGATTGACTGCAGTTCTATAGCTAGAAACAAAACTGAACAAGAAAAAAGCTTGTGTGCAGTCACACTACTGAAAGGTCAGCTCTGGAGGCCCATGGTCTCTTTCATTCAGCACTGCCTCAGTCTCCAGTCCTGCCCTATACTCCCACACAGGCAGCCACCCAGGAAATGCCCAAAGCATGGTGCTTACTTGGCTGCCTGTGTTGTGTCATTATTGCTGTTATCATTCTCTTCAGTGATCCACACTGAGTTCAGCAGAATAGCCAATGATCACAGCTTTACAAAAGCGCACCCACAGGGCCACATGTCCCCAGTAGAAATACAACCAGTGCAGCAGATCTCACCTCTGCATAGGGCACCTTATATCATGGTCAGTTTATCACAACAGAAAACTGTCCTCTGGAAATGCATTACAGCAGCCATCAGTGGTAGGTGTGGAGCGGTGCAGGAAAATGCTTGCTTATGCACGTTTCCCCATCCCGTGGCTTATGATGTCATTGCCAAACATGTGGCAGCGTCCCATTGCAAGGGCTCCCTGGGATGTACTCAGAGATCACCCTGGCACAGTCAGGATTCCCATTTTGTCACTCCTCTCGTACTCTGTGCATTCCCTGTCTCCCTTCGGAAGCGCTGTGTCACCTTTCATGGCCATCCCCAGAGCTGAGTTCCACATGTGAGTGTTGCCTTCCCTCCTGCCTTACGAATTTCAGATCAGCAGTGGAGCTGCAGGTCCAAATGAGGACCCACATAGTCAACACATTAGTCAAGTGGAGAGACATCATCCTCCTTGTCCGGTGCCACATCAAGGGCCTGTTGTCCCAGGAGAGACTTGTTAAAGTCTCTCCTAGACAGTGAAGGGCAGAGCCACCAGGTCCGTGCTGTGTGGCGTGAAATGGCTGAGTGCATCACCCTCCAGCTCAGCCCTGGTGAGTTGACCGCTAGCCCTGGTCAGTCCCTGACCTCTCCTAAGGGCCTAGCTGATGGGAGAGCCCAGCAGATAAGCGCTGTTTCAGTGCTTCCTTTATGATCTGCATTTCCATCACTCTGCACACATGGGGATGCCTCAGTGGAGGAGCCAGCATAAGGAGAGGGGTGGAAGACACATGATCCCCTCTTGCCTTGCTTCCTGGTGGAGTGGGGCTCCTGATGAGCAGCAGAGTCAACCAGCAATCTGACAGTTCAGAGGCACAGCAGGACAGGCAGGTCTGACTCCTCCCAGCCTGGATTAGTGTGCTGACTTGCTGTGATGCAGGGTCATGGATTGATCAGGAATGCATTGTTTTGTTATTTTTTGAGACAAGGTGTCATTGTGTTCCTTATGCCTTGATGTCACTTTCCATCCCAGGCTGCACTGGAAATCATGTCATCCCTCTTGCCTCAGCCTCCCTAGTTGTGAGATTACAGACCTGTGCCACCATACCCAGCTTTCTTGGATTTCTGCCTCCTCACCTTTTAAATAGCCAGGAAGCCTGGTGTGTGGTTATGTGCTATTCCAGTAGGGAATCTCCCTAAGTGCTTTCAGTGGGACGATGTGACACCCAGACGTAGTTTTGGGACTTGATGTACTAGAACATGGCTCTGGGATGGTACAGACAGTAGCATTCTCAGCAGATTACAGGACAGAAGTTTGAGAAGTAAGGTGAGAAGAATAAGATTAAGGACTGCAAGGTGTCTGGTGTTGTTCATGTTTACTTTAGTGACAGAACTGTGGAAGCAAGAGCTGTGGTGAGATGGGAGGCACTGGCTCTGCAGTGTGGCTGGATGACAGGAGGGAAGAGTGTTCAGGCTCAGCTGACCAAGATCTGTGAACCTGGCCAAGTCACCCTCCTGGTGCGCTGTGATGACCACCCCCACACGGTGACCTTGTGTGTGTAGGCACTGTCTGTTACCCAACACTGTTCTGTGTAGTCCACACAGAAGACGTGGTATGCACTGTCCCCTGGCTGGAGACTGTGTGCTATAGTCCTTGATGGTGTGGTGTCTACAGATGGAGAAAGAGGGCTGTGCAGAGAGACTGCAAATGCCCACAGAGTGAGCACCCACATGGGAGTCAGAGGCAGAACAGATGCCTGAAGAAGATAGTAAGGAAACAGGAAAAGAGCTCAGAGGAATGGGGTTGCAGCACAGGGGTACAGAGGGGCCCAGAGCAGTGTGCGGCAGTCTCCGCCTGCCTCAGCCCCCATCATTGCAGCACAGGCCTAATGCTTCTGGCCACCTTTCTTTACTCCTCTGTCCAAGAACAGTGATTCTCATCCATGTGGAAATAGGAGTGATTTTCAGGGCTGTCGCATAGAGCTCCATGGGAGGGTCACACTCGGTGTGCCCCCAGAGATCCATGAATCTAGATTTCACAGGAAGTGGCCTAAGGACAGGCATCTCTACTTCCCTGATTTCACCTGCTCTCACTCCTTATGGAGTGTGCTGCATGGATGCTCAGGTGGACACATGAGGCAGCAGGAGGTTGCCAGGGCCCAAGCCCAGGAAATTGCCCATGGCCCGCATCCTGTTCCACAGTCACTGCCTTCCTTTTTCCCTGGCCCACAGCATGAGGCCCTGTTTTCCATGTCCTTTTGTTCCTGTTCAGGGAGAGCCGCCCTCTCTATGTCCTGGGCCCTGCGCACTGTCTAGGAGAGAGCAGTGTGGTTGTGAGGTGGGCATGTTGGATGTGACCTTATCTGTCACAGCAAATCCCTCATGCTCAGATGTGTGACTGTCCATTAAGGCCAGTCCTGTCTGGGCGCTGCCTTCAAAGCATACACAGGTACACAGGTGACATCTCCTGACACCCAGGTTGTCTCCCTCTGTACCTGGGTCACTCTATGTTGTCCCCCACAGGTGGGGCAATCAGAAATGGGTGCTCAGCCAAGGGAGAAGTGGGATGGTTTGTCCTGAAGCTTCTTCTCGTTCCAGCTTCCCTCTTGGCAGCCTGGCCCCAAGAGCTTCCCAGTGGACCACTTCGCCACCTTGCATCCGAGGAGCATGGGGACCCATGCATCCCTGAAAACCACTGTGTGCAGACACAGCTGTGTCATGGAGTTGGCAAAGCCACCCTGAGCCTTTCCTCTGGCCCCTGGAGATTTTCAGCCCACACTGATCCTGGAGAGCAGTGGCTGCTCTCTCCAGGTAGGAGACCTCAGAGGCTCCCTCTTGTGTGGGCCTTGCCAGGATATTGTCAGTGGGAGGTGACAGGGCCCTCTATATTCTCTCAGGGCAAGACTGGAGCTTGATTCTCTAGTGGCATCATGTGAGCCCTCATGCCTGGGGTTCAGAGAGCCTCAGACCCTGCCCTGTGTGTCACGGAGCCTCCCTGGCCAGTGATGCATTTTCATAGATAACTCACACCTCGGGTTCTCCATCTCAGGACATGAAAGGCAAGCTACATCCAGTGCAGCTCACCTGTGTCCTGCTGCTGTGACATAACTGACCCAAACTGATACTTGTGTTATCTGTAATTCCCATCATGTCTGCAGTAACTGATTCCTTACAAATAGCATGATCAAAGCTTTGAGTAGAAAATGAAATACTTGAATCATTCTGGTGGTTTGCCATGTGATGACAGAGACTCTGCCATGTGAGTTCAGTAGGTCTTCAGGGACACTGTGTGTCCAGGGCTCCACCTGTCCTGTACATCCGGGGCCCAGCCCTGTCACTGACAGCCTTCCTGCACACTGTGTAGATACCAGGTGGCTCCCTGATTCCCACAGTGCATCCTTACGTGACGGGGCGACCTCATTCTGCTCTCCCAAGGTTCTCACTGCACTTGGAGTTTTCTTGCTTTTCTGCCCTTTTCCTCACCAAATCACATCACACACACACCAAGATATCCTGGTCCTTCTTTTCATTAGGTGTGGGTGGATCCCCTTTTCCATGTCTTGCTTGATCTTCAGTTTGATGTGCTTTGCCTCCCTGACATTTGATCATTACTGTTCATGTAGGAATCCTCAACAGCAAAGCCAGCATTAGTCTCTGTAGATGTCATCTCTCCTTGGGTTCCCTTTCAAAGGTCATTTTCTTTATTTGCTGATCCTCTTGGGGGGAAGCATGTGGGGCAGGAAGGCTCTGGATAACAGTGGGTCCTGGTCCTGTCCTTGTGTTTCAGAGCCAAATTCAGAGGCCTCCATTGGATTGAGGAACCCACCCGAGATGGAGCACACTGTTCCCCCAGAGTCAGAAGATGCCACACACGGGCGTCCATCTCTCAGTGTCCCTGAGCCTGCTGCTGCTCTGAGGCAGACAATGATCCTAGGTTCCAGCTGGGGAACATGGGGCGTAGATTCCCCACCTCTGAGACTTATGGTACAGAGGTAATGACATGTGTGGCTGCTGGGTGCACTTACACTGGATCACTGTCCCCCTTGCACTGTTCCAGTGCCTGTGGTTCCTCTCAGCATGTGCTCTGCCATAGCCATGGGAACCCTGTGTGGTGGCTCCTCTGTCACAAAGGGCTGCCCCATGCCAGGCATTTCATTCTCCATGTCCTGTTTGCAGTCCCAGTTCTGCTCTTCTCTTGGCTGCTGTCCTAGTATCCCAGTCCTTGCCACAGGAAAGGCCACCCTGATGCTCTTCTTCATGACACAAAGAGGCTGTTTCAAGGCTGAGAGCCTGGCTACTTTCCCTGACATCACACAATTCTTGCCTTTGCTGTTTTGTCTTCCCAGCTAGCCCAGTTCCACCACCTCTTCCTTCCAACAGCATGGCCTCCTGATTCACTGGCCCACAGGCCCAACTTGTGGCCTCATTGCTGATCAGACTCCATCTCCCCATTCCTCTGAGCTGGAGCCATAAAGGGCGAGTTCAGATTGATGTGACTGTGCCCTTAGTAGGAACAGGACTGGGCACACATGGCTGCAGGTGGAGCCGCATTCTGGTCTATAGTCAGGTTTGTCTGCAGCCCCAGAACCCCAGTTGACTTGGGCTCACAGGATCTGCGTCTGAGCCCCATTGAGTCAGTAAAGCAGATGTCAGCAGGAGCATTCTGCATGGCACCCCAAAGGAACATCAATCCAGATGATGATGCTTCAGGGAGCTCTTCAGGTCACATGGCTCCAGAGTCACAAGCCCTGAATGATGGTCACTTTAGTGACCATCATCCAGATGGTTTAAACATGAGTGAGAGACTCATTGAAGGTTACAATGCCCAGTGTCAATTTCACAGCTCTGTGATTAAATCAACTGCAGATTTTAAAGACTTTACTCAGGGGCAACTGAGTCAGCCCTTTTTTTTCTTTCTTTTTTTGTTTTAACATGATCCCACTTATAGTTCCAACTGAGCTGTAAAGCCTGTTGGTCCTCGTACCTCAGGCTCTCACATGCTGGAATTACTGAATTGTGACCCCAGTCCCACCTACTTTGAGTCAATTATTTTCAATAAGTAAATCCCCAAATACAATTATTTAGCCTGAATCCTTTGCAGGAAGTAAAATGATGTATGAAAATAGAACTCTGGAAATGCTGTCTTTGAACGTTTGTCTAAAGAACACTCTAGTGAGCACAGTGGACAAGGACAACACAGAGAGTGAGAACAGCGACATTCTCTGTCGTGTCCTTATCCTCTGTGATGTGGCCGTATAGATGGGAGAACTCTCATGGATGGGCTCTGCAGTGTGGCAGCACACAGGTAGAGCACAGACCTGACAAAAGGACCCTGGGCTGTGGTCACCTCACTGCCCAGCCCTGCCCCTCCATTCTGAGTGATGCCTTTTTCTGTTCTTTCTGGACCCACTTTGGAGTAACACTTCTCTCAGGCTTAAGGATCCTCATTGCCATCTCTCCAAGGTGCTCAGTAGCCATGGTCCTGATGAGGCCTACAGACTGGAGCTCTTCTCCTCCCACTCTGTGTTTATGAAAACCACCTGGGGCCTGGGCTGCAGCACCAGGGCTGTCAGGAGCCTGTGTGCTGTTCCCTAATGCTCTCCTTCCTGCCCCTGTCCTGTGTCCTTGATGCCTGTTAAGTAAATGTGGGACTATAAGAGGATGATGTGTGATAGTTCCGCAGTCTTCCCACTGCCCCCACACTCATCATCCTCAGTCTGGGGTTAGAGTCCCATGAGGCTGTGTCTCTCTGCCCTCTCCCACCTGCAGGAGTGTCTTTCTGAATGTGCAACACTGAGGCTGAGATCATCCCTCCCTGAGAGTTGTGAAAAGCCCTCTCTTTGGTCCTCACTAGAGGATCAGCATAGAGATCCTCTATGGTGCCATTGGCTGTGGCTAGAACAGTGCAGGATACTGTGTCCTGCACCACAGGCAGGAGTGCAAGATCTGGACATTCCCTCTTCCTTGTGGGTATCACCTTCCCCTCCAGGCTTCCTGAGCCCCTGTCCTTCAGCATGTCTCCCCAGGACCACAGGCGGCCTCTGGTCTCTGTCAGCGCTGAGCAAAACCTCCAGCCCCTGTCCAAGGACCTGACCAAGACTGTCCTTTCATTTCTCCCTCTCTCACTCAGGTCCCTCCTGCTGCACCCAAGAAAGATGCTGCTGCTTTAAGAAGACTGGGCACCAAGGGGACCTTCTGAGCTTTACCATCAACTCTAGAACAAAAATACCTTCAGGATTCAAGAGAGCCCCTGTGTGCAAACATTCACAACCAGCAACCAGACCTGATCTCTTTTTCCCCCTTTTTATTGCTTTACACAAATCTATTGTTTTATTTTAAGGTTAAAATAAAATTTCAAAACAAAGTAATAAGACAGTAACGTTAGTTAATGCATCGCCTATTGTTAACTTCAAAATAGTTACTCAGAGTATAAGACAGAGTCAAGAAATACTGTCCAAGCAAAAAATCTTGCTTTCCAGTGAACCAAAAGAGAATACTAGTGTGTTAACTGTTTGGAAGATAAATTTTTTTTTCCTTTTCCCTTCTTTTTCTCCTTTCCCCCACCCCAGTTTCTCTTTCCTTTTGAACAGTTTCTTCACATTTTACAATATCAATTGCACATTTTAGCCCTCCTTTACTCTCAGCATCACCCATTTGAGAGCCAATAAGATGTTTTCAGATGTGAATCTGATTTATTTCACTTACGAGTGGTCTCAAGTTGCATCCATTTACCTATCAAAGACTCTATCCTTCTTTATGGCTGCAGAGTACTCCATTGTACGAACAAAAACCACCTATCTTGTATCCATTCCTTGTTTGGTGGCCAGTTGTGTTATTTGCATGTTTGGCCAGTACAGATGTACTGCAATATAAATGTGGGTGTACTTGTCTCATTGTGGAATGCTCCTTTTAATTGTTCTGGGAAGGGGAATTGCTGGGATGAATGGGACCTATAACCCCAATTTTTCTGTGGAATCTCCATACTGATTCCAACAGTGATTGCACTAGTCTGCACTGCACCAACAGTGGAGAAGTGTTCCTTTTTACAAACAGCCCTCCAGCATTTGTTATAGGTGGATTTCTTGATAATGACCATTGTTTCTGGAGCGAGATGGAATCTCAGTTGTTTTAATTTGCATTTCTTGAATGGCCAATGATGGTGAACATTTTTTCATATCCTTATTTGCCATTTATATTTTTTATCTGAAAAGTGCATATTCATCTCAGATGCCCATTTTTGGATTGGGCCTTTGAATTTTGTCAAAGACAAGGTGGCTGAATGTGATTGGAATTCCATCTGCATCTCTTTTTCTGTTCCACTGATCCTCAGGTCTGATTTTTTTTTTTTTTTTTTTTTTTGCAAATATCGTGTTGTAGCTTTATAGTGTAATTTCAGGTCAGGGATTATGATACCCTCTGACTTGCTTGTTGCCAAGAACTGTCACTTTCTATCCTACATCTCATTTCAAATGAATTTTTGGGATCTTCTCTCTAGTTCCGTGAGGTTTGCTAATATGCTAATGGGGTACCTTGATGGGGACTGCGTTAAATCTGTATAACAACCTTGAGAGTATGGCCATTTTTGCTATTTGGATTCTTCCTATCCAGGAACAAGGGATACCTTGTGATTTTGTGATGTCCTCTTTGCTATGCTTCATCTGGGTACTGTAATTTTCAATGTATAGTTGTTTTACTTCCATTTTTAGGTCAATTCCTAAGCATATCATTTTTTGAATGCTATGGTGAAAAGTGTGGTTTCCCCTAATTTCTCTGTATGTGAGTTTGTTGCTTGTGTCTGAAAATGCTGTTGATTTTTGAGTGTGGACATTGTAGCCAGCTATGTCACTGCCTTCAGTTATTAAATCCAAAAGTCTTTTGATGGCATTTTTGGGGGCTCCTAAGTAGAGTATCATGTCATCTGCAATTAATATTCATTTAACTTCTTTGTTTCCTATTGTTATTCCTTTTCTTTCTTTTTTTGTTGTTGTTGTCTTTGTTTTTTTTTTTTTATTGCCAGAGATCGAACTCATGACCTTGCATTTACCAGTCAAGCACTCGAGCTATGAGCTAAATCCCTGGCCCTGTTCCTTTTCTTTCATTCTCTTGTCTAATGAGTCTGGCTAATATTTCCAGAACCCTACTGAGTAGGAGTGGTCACAGTGGTCATCATTGTATTTTTGCTGACTCTCATGAGTCAGCTTTCATGAATCTCAGCTTTCCATGAAAGCTTCCGTTTTTTGACCATTTGGTGTGATATTAATTGTTTGTCATAGATGGCTGTTACCAGATTGACATAAAAATCATCTATTCCAGTTTTCTGTAGGGTTTTTATCATAAATAATAAATGGGTATTGTATTTTGTGAAATGACTTCTGCATCTCTTGAGATGTTCGTGTGATCTTTTTCCTTTGGTTCAGTTAATATGGTGTATTCCATTAATTGCATATGTTCAAAATCTCTGCATCCCTGGGATGAATCCAACATGATCACAGTGTATAATCTTCTTGATGATTTGTTGCACTCTGTAGGCCAGTATGTTATTAAGGATTTTTAGTCTATTGTCACTAAGGAAACTGGTATGTAGTTTTCTTTTCTAGTTGAGTCCTTCTCCGGATTAGGTATGCGGGTAATGCTTGCTTCCAGGAATGGTTTTGGAAGTATTGATTGTCTGTGACTTTCATGGAAGAATTTCTGCTTTAGTTCTTTTTGAAATTTCTTGTAGGATTCCACAGTGAACACATCAGGGCCTGAACTTTTCTTCATTGGTAGGTTTTTAATGACATTTTCCATTTTACTGACTGTTACCAGGTTATTTAGAATACTAACATCTTTGAGATTCAGTTTTTATCATTTATATATGTCAGGTATCTTCCACTTGTTCTGTGTTTTCCATCTCAATAGAGTACAGGTTCTTCTTGTACATATTAGAACCTTCTAGATTTGCCCTGTAACTATGTGGTTTTACACTTTTAATTCCAAATTGCCTGATGGATAGTCTTTTTTCTTGTTGATGATGGCAAATAGAGGTTTCAAACATCCAACTTTTGAATTCATTTTTTGTATTATTTCAGTTGCATTAATTTCTGCTGTGATGGTCATCATTTTCTCTCTTATAGGAGCTTTGCATTTGATTTGTTCCTTCTTTTGTAGCAGTTTTTGGTTCAATCTTATGCTGTTTATTGGAGCTCATGCTGTTTACCTGATATGAAAATTTACCACTAGAAATATCTTTCATGTGAGTGCTTTCATCATGTACCACAACTTCTGGTACATTTTATTGGCATTTTCATTTAATTGCAGATACCATTTAATGTCTTCTTTAATATCCTCTGTGACTTACTGGTTTTTTAGAAGAGTGTTGTTTAATTTCCATGTGTTTATGTGATTTTATGGTTTCCTTGATGTCCAATTTTTATGCAGTGTGATCAGATAACATGTATGAAATAATTTCAATTCCTTTGCGTTTACTTAATTCTATACTATGGGGTAATATGTGGTCTATTTTGGAAAATGTCTCAAATATAGGTAAGAAGAATATGTATGCTGATGTTGGAACACTGTAGATATCTACTGAATCCTTTTGTTCCCAGGTTTGTTGTAATTCTCTCATTTCTTTGTTGATACTTTTTCTTCTTAACTTATTGTGAGAGTGAGATATCAAGATCCCCCATTACAAAAGTGTGAGTGCTTATTTGATTTTTCAGGTCCATTAATTTTTTTAATGTAATTGTGTTTACTGGGGTTAGCTGCATATATATTTATGATTGTTTTCTGTTCTTGGAGACAAACATTAACAAGTTTGTAGTAAATCTCTTCTCTTTGGATCAATCTGGGCTTGAGCACCACATGGCCTACCAGTATAATAGCTACCCCTGCCTTTTCTCTGGGATCCCACCACATGGAGTATCACATTCCATCCTTTGACTTTCAGTGTATGAATTTCCTTCTGAGTTAAATGTGCTTCTTGAATACAGCATATTGTTGGATCTTGCTTCTTGATCCAGTCTGCCTTTGCTCTGTTGAATCAAAGCCATTTGTATCAATGACTGTAACACATGTACATTGGCATATCTTTCTCATATTATTTTCTTATTGGTCATCCCGAGGGATAGTTTCTGCATACCTGGTAACAATATCTGTGCAGCCAATCAGCATCCTTGATGTCTCTGTCTTGTCTTCATGAAGGCAGCCTGGGTCCCTAGAAAGAAGACCTACGAGAGAGACAGAGGACATGAGCACCTGGAGCATCAGTATCTCCT